ATATATATATATGTGTGTATATTATTATTTTTAATAAAAGTGAAAAAAAAAGGTAAGTTCTAAATAAATTTTCAATCCTTTTTCAAACTTCTTTTTCGGTTCGAGACAAAATAAACTTTCACTGCATTCCCCAGAAATTCTATGGCACCACATGTAGCACCATATTATGGTGCCACAACATGATGTGACACATTATGATTGGTGCCATAGAATTTCTGCTGCATTCCCTACTCTTCTATTATTCATCTACTTTTAACTCTCTCTTCTTAAAATAAATAAAAAATAAATTAGGTTATAATTTCACCCCACTACAACTTAACATTATATATTATTTTACTAATTTTCTTATACCTACCATACATAATAATATTATTATTTTCTCAATCTTCTTCCCCACCAAAAAACCATCCCCGTCTCTTTCCCTCTCATCACCTTCTCCGGCAACTCCCTCTCTTTATTTATTTATTTTTTTGCAGGTTCGTCCTCTGCCGACAACAAATCCGGTGAAAGAAATTATCCAGACGTAAAATTTCTCCGGCGAAAAATTGATATTTTTTCGGCAACATTTGGTCTTTTTTCGGTCAAAATTTGAAGTAGTAATCTATGTATTATATGGAGATTTTGGAGTCCAAAAATCATCTTTAATTCATATATTGTTGGTTAATTTGTTAAAGATTGAATTTTGAATATTGTTATTCATATTTACCCTAAATCAAATAAATTGATCATAATCTCTTTTTTCTTGTTCATGTATATGAAATTGATGTTGTTGGCCTTGTTTGGCGATGAGCGGATAGCGGATTATATTAGCTGATTTGACCAGCGGATTGCATTAGTGGTTTTTAAATAAGTGTTTGGTAAATAGCTGAAAGCTTATAGCTGTTTGACATTACAAAATGACCAATAAGGACATTTTATTATTTAGTGTGTATTCTTTTAATAATAATAATATATTAAAACATTTAATATTCTTTAGTTGGTAATTTATAAATATATTATTTTTTTAAAAAAAATTACTAACACTTGATGAAGAAGTTATGAATTTTTATATTTTTCTAGATAAATTGATCATATAGATGACATATTATTATTTATTAGCACCATAAACCAATGTAGATTGTAAAATAAATAATACAAATTAAAAAGTTCCAAGTAAATATTTTTTGTGAATCCTCTATGCCCAAAACGCTGCTCTAATGAGCTTTTTGTAAATTAGAGTTTTGGGCCCAAAAAGCTTATCAAATAAGCTATTTACCAAACAGGCTCAATAGCGGATTTGACGGGTCAAACCTCTCAATTAAGTCCAATCCGCTAATTTATCTTCAATCCGCTATCTTGCAAACGGGACCATTGTTAGGTTATGTTATGTGTTATTCATACCAAAACAAGAAAATAAGGCGAGAATGATCATTGTACCACTATTCTTGATTATTGTACCTCTATTTGTATATATAGTACCACTTTAATCACTATTTGGTACCATACGTGCTGGGAAATGTGAAGTTGTTTTATTTTATCTAATTATTGTTAGATACATGAAAGGGGCACAAAGTAATATACTAGGGAGTTGTACCTACAAAAATGAATTGTTTGTGGACGCTTGACGAAGTGTACACTCTCATTGCATTGCTAAGAAAGAGAGTTAGTTTGTCTAACGTTAATTTCGAATCCGTCATACTATGTCATATTGCGCCATAGGAAAAAAAAAAAGAGAGTTAGTTTGTCCAATGATAAGGATGTAAAAAACACATTTTGGTTACATGTTTGCTAAAAAGTAAATATTGCAGAGTTACATGTGTGTTCTCTATTACTTGTTTTCTGCTCCGTTTTTGAACATTATTTATTTAAGATGAGTGCGTGACTTTAAGTAATATAAAAACATTCATAAACTCATAGATACTAATTGAGGAGTGGTTTTGAAGAATATAAACATCATTTAAAACCGAAATTCGGTGTTTTTTTTTTATAGCCAAAGAGTGATTCTACTATGTTTTCCATAATCAAATAAAAAAAAAAAAAGACATCTGCAACCTAAATAAATGGTTTTATAATAATTTGATAAAATCCTAAAAACTTTATCCATGTGTAAACCAACAAAATATAACATATTTCGTTTTGGCAGGTTCACAAGCATAGCAACCCAAAAACACCAAAAACAGACGAATCAGAGAAAAGATGACAACATGTGTAGGTTCTTACTGCTTCATAATTTACAACCCGAAACATATGCTTTTATAAATCCTGCAAAATTGAGATTACAGCATGAAATTATGAGGAAAAAGTACATTTTAAGTTTTAAGTAAAGCCACCAGTGCCTTCAACTTGCCAGCAAGAAAAGCCCTGTTTAATACAAATGGACCAATCAACAGTATATTTACTCGGTATATTCCAGACATAGTAAAAGCAAATTAAGGTGTTGACATAGCATCTAAAGTTGTTCTGAGGGTGGATAGCGGTCTGTGTATATTATTACCTTTGGTGTACGGGTACGAACAATGGATCTCCGCCTTTCATTGCCAATCCGCCAAGGTTTAGGGGATGAAATCCATCGACATCCTTTTCGAGCGATATTTCACTCAGAATTTTCTCCTCGTTTATATGTTTAGGCAATGGTAGTTGTACCAATGTACCTATAACAACCATACACGCGAACTTGAGTTTTTCAATTTTATTGCATTTTATTTATCTCAAGAAGAAAACGCATATTTCAAACATCACAGAACATAAAGTAATGGTTTGTATCAAGATACCCTACTTAATTAATCTCCAACCAACAATCAACGACCATATAATTTAATGGTAAACATAAGTTGTCTTCATAAAGTGAAATCTATGAGATTTATGTGAGAATAGATTATATGTTTTTAGGTAATCACTGAATAGATTTGAACACAATCATATCACAAGAATGTAGGATAAATAAAATCAAAAGAAAACTCGAAATAAGATTCAAACTCAACAAACCATGAACATTGGGATTCATATTCAGCTCATGGACTTTGGATATCAACTCAGATTCGGATACGTCCTCAGGAAGGTCAAAATCGATGGAGTTGATAGCAACTTCAGCACAGGCTTTTCTTTTCATATCGACATAGCTCCGTGAATCTTTTCTCTACACCACAATAAATTTAACCATCAGGATTTCATTTAAAACAAATTTAAAATAAATTTAACCATGAACATTAGAATTGTTCCTGAACAACTCGTCTTTTGGCCATAATATATATCGGCTAATAATCATCACAACATTAAGAAAGAAAAAAGAAAATGATGATACCTCACCTACCTATTGCCAGAACTCCCATACTCTCACAACCCTTCAGACTACATCAGTTTAAATACCCATTGATATGAGATCTTGGTTTTGGACCCGTCAGCCAGGAAAAGGGCACACTGGGCCCGGGCCCGAGACCCGCCTTGAGATGGTTGGGTCCGAATCCGATACAGGCTTCGAGAAGGCTTGAGCTAGCACGACTGCTGAAGCCGCTTTCTCAAACCACACAGGTGGGCCGTGGACGGGCCCAGTTAGGTCCACGGGCTTGCACCAGCTCTCGGGCGATGGGGCCCTCTGATTGCGGTTCTTATCAATGTCTCTTCGATTATTCTTTTGGAGGTGGTGGTCCAGCCTGTCAGGGTACTTGGTGGCTACCCGTTGGATGGTGGCATTGCTTTCGGCCTTTTCTTTGTGATGGACGGGCAGCAAGTTTGTGGGCGTGTCAGTCTCAGGCGAGGTTGCCTTCACTCTTTAATTACAGGGTAATTAGCAAAGTACAGAATAAAATATTTAAGATGTGATCAAAGTGAAGGCAAGTAAATTGTGTTTACCCATTCCCCTTTTT